TTTTAGTGAAATAAGTTTATAGCACAATCGGCCGTTTGCGGCCTAAGGGTCCTGAACCCTCAACTTGTGTTTATCAGCAATGTCCAAGTCCACAAATAATATTTCCCAGCAATAAAAGTCACACACAAAATATGCAGGTCTGTTCTTTCCAAAGTCCAGAGCAGGATTGATTGATTCTGCTGTTCCTTCCTCACAGGTCCAGGTCCTCCCCAGTGGAAAGCTTCTCCAAGGTTTTCACTGGGGTGTGACTAATTTTCTGTTTGTAAAATTCTTCATAATTCCTTTCATCAAGTGATGATTCACTTGGTGGAAGGTTTTTCCTGAAGATCAATATCTTCAGGTTTCATAATGTTTTAATAGAATATATTTCTGTTGTTATCTTGAATTGTTTAGAATTTTCGAGATATTTGTTTTTATGTACGACGTAGTGTTTCCTATGCTGCGTCGCACTTTCTGCGCCTCTCCTGTTCCTGCGCTGCGGGCGACATCTAGTCGACCCGCGACAAAAGCCTTGTTTTGTTGTTGTTGGAGACCTGCCACCACCATTGTGATGAGTGCCTCATTATTCAAGGGAACATTGAATTGGGTGGAAAAACCTCCCAACCATAAAAATGATCAGGCCAGAAAACCCAGGAAAAGTTTTGAACTGTACACTGAGGCTTTCTGAGCCCAGAGTTGTCTTCAACTCAGCTTTATTTTTGCCAATCCCAGGCCTCTAAAATTTGCCTGATCCAGAGCAGATGAGTACTCAATCAAGGCCAGTCACAATAATTGATTTTAAAAAAACCTATTTTATTCTTCATCATCATCATCAGTATGAGCTTAGCAGTTGTGCATTGAACAGTCTGTTACTAATTTCAATTTGCAGTTCAATAATATATTTTTGACTTGTTAAAATCTTTGCCTTATTGTTGGGACAATCATCTGAAATACAGTTTGAAGTTAAGTAGGGATTCTACCAAGAATCCCCAGCCTTTTCCCAGGCTGATTCTGCATTTTGACTTCCAATTTCTTTTGGATCCTGCACAGCCAGTATTTTCATCCTTATGTTGCAGTGACTGTTGTCCCCAACAGTCATTATTGACACAGTTCATCATCCACTAACTACAGTATATCAGGAATTCAGGATCAAGAAACACATCACCATCAGGACAGAGCAGATTAGCTACTGTAACAAGAAGAAGAGGGAATGCAACAAGATGTTATCATGATTGAGATCACAAACATTGGGATGAGATTCCGGTTGTTGGGATGCCTCTTGGGAGAACCAACAGATCCTGCAGGGATCCTGCGCCGGACCCTGGGATCCTTGTCCCTGCCAAACACCCTTGCAGCTTCCTTCAGCACTGACTCCTCAAGCACAGCAAGGCTGCTCATAGCAGCACCATCACCAACACCTGACAATGATGAGTCCTGCTTGACCCTTGCTCTTGATTCAAGTCCCAGCATATATGCAGCAAATGGAACCACCCATGGAAGAAGTAACAATTGATTCCAAAAAGAAAACAAAAAAAGGAATAAGAGTGAGACATTTCAGGGCAAGAAGAATGAAAACTAATTGTATTCCTGATTGATGCATGTGTATTTTATTAATATTACATTGCTATGATAAAAGTCCCCTGAATGTTTGTTGCAAACTTGAAGGTGCGTATAGCATTGCAGTACACTAAAATGTGTCAGGATGATTGAGAGAACCAAAAAGATTTATAAAACAAATTTGGGCAGTTTTTTATTTCATACAGAAGCCCATATATATGAATTAAAGTGATTTATTATTCAGGAAAATAATGAACAATCAAACAGTGTTGACCTAGAAACATGTACACCATATAGCTTGCAAGTGTTTCTCCCTTTAGCTAGATTGCCCTTTTCTTCCTCTTTAAGGAAACAGATGTTGTTTAGCCCCTATACCTGTTTCCTGTTTTTATTTCTTCATGTGAATGTCACCTACATCAATGCATGACAGTTTTTTTTTTAGTCAAGCACCACTTCCATTTTACTGCTGACAGTAATGAATGCTGTGCATAACTATTTTTCTTTATGAATGCAAGTTCCAAGAGAAAATGCCTAAAGATAGTATATTATATATACATAGTTTGGGACTCATTAATTCAAAAGATAGAATGAATCTTGGTTGCCCCCAATTCATTCTGAACCTCAAGATTCCTTCTATCTTTTGAATTCATGAGTCCCATACATATATATATTGTATATATATATATATATATATATATATATATATACATACATACCCTGCTTCACTGAGTGGTACTCAGAATTAATCCAAGCCTTAACTTCTCAGGAAGCCCTGTATCTAATTTAGCAAGACTTCCTATATATTCCATATTCCAAGTACATATTTGAAGTATATTGTAATATATAATTTTGTACAACCTTGAATATTTTTTGGGCAACAATACTGCTAATGCTTACGTATCCAATGGATGTACTGTATGTACACTGTATAGACAAATGACTATATAATGCTGCAATAAAACAATGAGGGATGAGGGGATGATGAGAAAGGTAATGAGAGAGAACATTACAAAACTGAGCCTGTCATGCACTTGATTGTCCTCACTTTATGTCATTGAGGTCATTATTGGCATAGCAATTATTGCCATGCTGATCCTCACAAAGGCAGCAGCAAGAGCAACTGTGACAGGCCCCATCAGCAAGTGGTGAGTGCAGCCAAGCCTCATTGTTGCCTTCTGTTGCAGCTGCTGCAAGCTCATCAGTACCCCTCATTATTGCACCACCACCACCACTACCTGTTGCATTTCTCACACATCCTGAATAGATCACACCTGAGGAGGCGCTGTGATAAATTGTGCCTGCTGGAGATGAATGCTGCTGGTGTTGTTGTTGAAGTTGTTTTTCCTGGTGCTGCTGTGCTGCTGGTGGTGCTGCCTGCAGAAGCCAAGGATGTGCTGGCCAACTTTTTGCTGCTGATGGCTGCAGCATGGGCCACAGCCTGGATGAGTTGACTTATTCCTGTGCATCCATTTTGGAGGCTTGTTGCCATTGTCTCCTGCAGTAATCAATCAATCACCAATCATATATTGTGTCAACAAGAAGAAATAATTTTGAAAGAAGAATGGGATAAGATAAAGCATAAATTGTCATAGGATGATATGTTTTGTAAAATGTGGCATTGTCTAAGCGTATACCACAGCATCAAAACCTGCACAAAAAAAAATTCAAAAACTATCCTCCTTTCCTATTACATATCAAGCTGCTGGTTTTCTTGCTTTCTTTTCTTTTTGGAGTGATGCTACAGTAAAATCTTGGTACAAAAAACTCCCATGGTCCTGAGAAAAAATTGTTATAATGAAAAATTTGTTCTATTGAATGAGATTAATAATGTTCAGCACATTTCAGACTGAAATTGTATTGGAAATGGGGAATACATACTTTAAAATGCTTCTAAAACAAATAATTCAAGACCTAGCATAATTAATGAGTACTTCTGATGAAATGAAAAGAAATCCTTTGAAGCAAATATAACTCTCGTTTAAATGAACAAACATTTGTCCTGAAGTATTGCTTGTCTAGACAGATGAAATGAAACAAAATTACATATGGTAAAAATACTGCACTTCCTCCTCAATCAAGTTATACACCCATAGCTCTTTGAAACACAGAGAAACATTCTTCTAGCATACTGTTTATTTGAAAAATGTATACATTAAAATGGATGAGCTAAAGAATTTCCAAAAATATTTACTGTTGATGCATTTTTTGGACACAAAGTTTTCTTGGCATAAAGATTTCTTATTTTGTGAATGTTTAATGCTACATCTTCTAATTTTTTCCACATTTTCTTCCATTTATTGAGTAATCCCTATATGAGCAATGCACAGAATCATGCCCACAAATTTGCTATAATGAGATTACAGCCTAAAATTACTTTGCAGCCACTCATAAAAAAAATGGTATAACACGATTTGTTGCAAAGGAATTCTACTGTATTCTGTTGATTGAGGTCCACTGAGCTATACTGCAACTGAAAGCCTAATAATAAAAAGCAATCCTGTGTTGTATTTAATCCCATTCTCAGATGTGTCCTCTTTATAGAGAAGAAAGGTAGCAAAATGAGGGAATCAACATTGAAGACCACTTTGCCACATTATTCAAACATATATAAGCTCTTATTTACAACTCGGATGTACATCAAATTGTTCTGTACAGTACTGTATATATACAATAGTTTAGGATGGAAACAACATACATGCAGTAAAAGCCAAGACTAAGTAGTGTAACTCCTGCATCATAAATACATCAGTTTGTGTATCACCGGAGCACCTTCTCCTCTTATGTCCAGCATTTCAAACTGATAGAAACAAGCAGAAAGATTTACAAGCATTGGAATTCAATGAAGATGAGACCCTTTCTGTAAAGGATCAAGATAAACTGTTGGACTTATGATTTCTCATCAAAGATTCTCTCTAATTTGTTCATTCAACTAAACCTCATACAGAAACAAGCTGAAAACCTTGTGCTTTAAATTAATTTTTACATGTATTTTGTTTCCAATGTCAGGGCATGAATGGGTGCACACATACATGTCAGATGTCCAGTTGTATTTCATGGGTTGTATTCCCTTTTACTTTTGCTATCAATTTGTGCACTGTTTCCTGCTCTGAAGTGATTAAATGTCATGGAGTGGATTTGGGTTGGGTGGGAAGGGGGTTTGGTTGTGGAAATCTTGGTTGAACCTTGTGAATGCTGAAAAGTGGCAAATAAAGTGTTCTGTTCTTTCATTCATTCAAGCCAAGACAACAAGAAAGAAAGAAAGAAAAAAACCCATGCAGGAGATATATATGTAATCACCCTCGTCTCTGCTGAAGATTTTCGGGGCTGCTGCTGCTGCTGCATTCAAGCCGGGTCTCCAGCAACAGCTGTTATTCCCACAAGTACCGTCAGCCAGATTCGCTCGCTCATCTCGATAATAACTCGTCATCATTGGCAATAATTCTGGTGGGTCGATATTATCGTCAGGAGGACAGGGCAACTGCTGCTGCCTCGTTATTTGGGCCTTATTGTAACGATGACGACAATAAGGATCATCCGTGTCCTGTTGACCCATCAGGTACCCCTGCTGATGATGATGGCCACTGCCACTAGTGATTATGGTCTCCTTGTTTTCCGGGGGAGTCCATTTTCCCAATACAGGGTGTCGTGTCGGCGGCTGCTGCTGCTGCTGAGGGCCAGTCAACGTTGTCACCTTTGGGACCTGCTGCTGCTGCACTGTCCCACTGGCCTCATGATGAGTCACCGTCGAGATGAACTGGTAGCACTGCTGCTTCAACTCTGTGTTTTTTATGAGTGCGTGGTGGAATGAAAAACATTCCTTTTGAAACAAATCAATTTATGGTACTTTCCTGTTATCTCTGTACCTCATTCCTAGACTGCACTACCACCCAGACAAATCTTTAGGACAAGTTCATAATCACAAGGACCTACCAGAAACTGTGAATTTTATTTTCCGCATTCTGCTGAAACTGATTTTGGGAGGCAGTTAGATAAATTTAGGTTAGGTTAGGTTATGTTAGTGACAAATATCTTTTAACTTACATAACCTGACCTAACCTAACTTTACCTAACCACCTCCCAAAATAATTTTCAGCAGAGACCCAAAGAAAGCAGAAACTGATTTTGGGAGGTGGTTAGATGAAGTTAGGTTAGGTCAGGTTAAATTGGTCAGAGGGAAGGTATAGAGATAGCAGGAAAGTAGGTACAGAGATAACAGGATAGTAGGTACAGAGATAACAGGAAAGTAACCAATTTATTTTTATATTGCTTTCTTCTTTCTTGTGTCATAAGAAAATAGAAGCAAACAGGCCACAGAAAATTTGACTCATGGAGGTTTTACAGGGGAAAAGCCTGTGACTTAAAGACGTTTTTAATGCATTAATTCTGATGGGATTCAGATAGTACCTAAACAATTTTGACTTAGGAGGATATTTGCAGGTGGGAAACAAAAATGCACAAACATACTGTACAGTATTATATGGGAGCTGTTTGTACATTTGTGCTCAATCTACAGCATAGTGATGAGTGATGACTGAGAATTTAAACAAAGCTTTTTTTGCAGAGCAAGAACTATCCTCTTCACAAAAAATTGTTTTTTTCAGGCAGACATTTTTCAAAGAGTGGAGATGCATTTAAAAATACTAAAAATTGTAGTTTGCACCATCATAGATATGATACAAAAAAGATGGCAAAGGTATGCAGTAAAATCTTGTTACAACAAACTCCCAGGGACTTGGTAAAAAAAATTCTTATAACGAAAAAGTTTATGCATTCAGATTCATGATTTCTAGCACATTTTAGACTGAAATTTTGTAGGAAAAGGGGCAATACATACTTCCAAGTGCTTCCAAAACAAATATTAAAATAATTATATCATAAATACTGAGTATTCCTGATGAAGTGAGAAAACTTGAAATAAATAGTACAGTACTTTCATTCTGCTGAACCTGCCATTCTACTAAAAAGTTACATCAGTTTCAAAATATACAATAGACATTAGTACATGTAAGAGGAAAGCTTCCTTCTGAATAAAATTTCTCATTCGATCATGCATGTTCTTGCAGATGAAGAAAATTCTTCCAAACATACGATATATTATTGGGAAGAATGGCATATAATCTAGAATAGAGCTAGTAAATTTCCAAGAAATACATCATGTTTCATATTTTTTGAACAGGAAGATTTCTTGGCAGAAATATTTCCTTTTTGATGAAGTTGGAATGCGGTAACTTTTTTTTGTCATAAAAATCAAACAAGCCCCATTGTCTTTAAACAGAATGATGGACAAACTTTTGTTATAATGAGATTACAGCCTTAAATTAGTTCATTTTAATGAGATTTGTATAAAATTATGCCTTTGGTAAACTGCTGGGACCAATAAAAAAATTTTTATAATGAAAAATTTGTTAGAATGAGATTTGTTACAATGGGTATCACTTATATTACACCAAATAGTTCACAATTAGCTCCCAGCAGGATAAAAATAAAACTAGCTAGTAATGCTGCAGCACATTCAATAATCTGCAGCATGTTGGCAGAACTGTTGATGAGTGCAGCAGCTTAGTCTGACATTTATTATGCCCGCATCAGCGCTAAATGAAGGGATCAAGCAGCAAGGAAGAGAAAAAAGAATGGGAAAGGAATAGAACGAGTACTGTATTTTACCTTACAGTAGGGCTACTCCTTAAAAGGCCTAAAGTACATCAGTCTATACCTTGGGCACCCAAACGCATGGCGCACACCGACAAACAGGCCACACTCTCTTCATTTATCAAGTGTGCAGCTTCCTCCGCATCTGCAGCATAACACCAACCCAGGAATGCTCTGAACATTTCAGTGGACATCCAGCTCTAAAACAATTACCAGGTTACAGTATACAGTACTGCATTTGCAGATCACAGGATATACAGTAAAATTCTGTTACAACAATTCTTGTTACAGTATAAACATTTTTTCATTATAAAATTTTTTAATGGTCCCAGAAGTTTCCCACAGGCATAATGTTATAAAAATCTCATTTACAACAGATTAATTTTAGACTGTAATCTCATTACAACAATTTTTGTCCATCACTCTGTGTATAAATACAAAAGGGCTTGTTTGATATGTATGAAACATAAATGAAAGGTGTAAGGTGCAGCATTCCAACTTCATCAAAAATGAAAAATGTCTGCCAAGAAATCTTTCTGTTAAAAATATTAAACATGATTTGGAAATTTACTAGCTCCAATCTAGATTATATATGCCTTTCTTCCCAATATACAGTATATTTGAAAAATGTTCCTCTATTTGCCAGTACATGGATGAATGAAAAAGTTCACCCAGAAAGAAGCATTCCTCCTACATGTACTTATATATGTACATATACTTACATGTTTCATTGTATAGTGTATTTTGAAACAAATGTCACTTTTTAAAAGAATGGCAGTTCAGTAGAAGGAAAGTAATATTTATTTTAAGTTTTCTTTTCATATTTCATCAGGAATAATCATTATTTATAATATAATTATTGAATTATTTCTTGTGGTAGCACTTGAAAGTATTTATTGCCCTTTTCCAACAAAATGTCAGTCTAAAATATTCTAGAAATCATGAATCTCAATAATGCAACATTTTTTTTTGCTGCAATACATTTTTTATCAAGCTCATGGGAGTTTGTTGTAACAAGATTTTACTGTATATACATGCAGTGCACAGACTGTTCTGCTGCTGTATCTGCTGCTTATTATGGCTGATGATGAAGTACAGTAGGAATTGAGTACATTACTTTGGCACATTCCCATATTCATCATTATTTAATGTTCACTGTCTGTTGGAAATGATTCACGACTGCAGTAATACTCTACCTGGTCCAGACTGATTCTTGATTCATCTCCTGCTAAAGCAGCAGCAGCAGGGTGAGGAAGTCCTTCTTGTCTTGCCCCCATAAGCAATAGGTCCTGGAAATAGTCTGAGAGCAAGCACAAGACGGCCTTGTGGCACCTGTGACTGTCAGTGTTGTTGGTGTAGACAGTGAAATCGCAGAACCTGAAGGATGTTAATTGTTGAGCTCATTATAGTGATACAACAGTGATTCTGGGGCTGCTGGGCAGGCCAGAAAGAGAGACAATATTAACACATTTCCAAGCAGGGGCAGTAGTATTAGCAGCAAGTTGGATTATACAGTCAAACCTTTTCAAGTTGGATTCAAGGGACCAGCAAAAATATTTGACTCAGGGATGTTTTGAATTGATCTACAATATAAAGTGCTTCTGTACTGAGAAACAAATACAAATTCCTTAAAATTGTAAATTCTGATATTCTGAGGCTGAAATTACTTCTTGAATGAGTGGAAAGAATCTTGAACTTATTGGAGGCAGTGTTCATTTGCCCAATTAAGTCTCTCACATCCTTTCAAAACAAATCGAATTCTGTTTTTATTTCTTTTTTTCTTTCTAGTGTCATAAGAAAATGGAAGCCAACAGGCCGCAGAAAATTTGACTCTTGGAGGTTTGAGGGGAAAAGCCTAGCACTTTGGGAAGTTTTTAATGTATTAATTCTAAGGGGATTCAGACAGGACCTAAAAAAAATTTATCCAGGAGGATATTTGACTTAGGGAGGTTTCAGTTATCAAGGTTTAACTGGTGCATTATAAAAAGGACAAGAACTCACTTGCCGCGTTGAAACAGGCGCCAGATTTGAGTTGGCAGGTCAAGTTTCCCACCACCACTTGCCCCACCAGATCCTGCTGATGACCGGATGCTGGGAAGATGATGCAGGTGCATCAGACTGGAACCCAATCCAGGCTCCATCATAAGCTCATTGGGCATCTGAGGTTGCAGCAGGAACCTGCCACTGGGCTTCATTTGCATTGCAGTCTGGCTCATGATTGTTTGTGTGCCCACTGTTGACTACAGTAAAACCTCATTACAATAACAAATACCATTACAACAAACTTTTCAGCATGACAAACTTTTCTCAAAGTCCCAGCAGAAATCCTGAAGGCTACATGTGATAAAAATATTGCTATTAAAAAATTACCAATTCTATATTACAGTTGAACCTTGATAACTTGAAGCTCCCTAATACCCCTCTAAGTCAAATTTTTTTCAGGTCCTGTCTGAATCCCCTTAGAATTACTTCATTTAGAACCTTGCTAAGTCAGAAGGGGTTTCCCCTAAAAACTCCATAAGTCAAATTGTATGTGGCCTTCTGGCTTTTATTTTCTTGACACAAGAAATAACAATAAAAACAAATTGATTTGAAAAGGAGGTGAGAGACTTAATTGGGCAAATGAACCCTGCCTCCAAGTTCAGGATTCTTTCCACTCATTCAAGAAGTAATTTCAGCCTCAGAATATCACAATTTACAATTTAGAGCAATTTTTCTATGTTTCCCAGAAGAAAAGGAATGTTGGATTTCTTAAAGAAAAATATACAATGAATGCAGGCACACAGTCTCAAATTTCCCATTCAAAGTGGGACTGTGACTGGTCCTTGCTGGGACATGAGGTGGAAACAGGGATGAAAGGTATTCAAAATCCACTTGAACAATTTTCTTTCTAAATTGTTTCCTGGTTAGGCGGAAAGATGGTGGGGCAGAAAATTAAAAAATGAACCCAACAAAACTCATGTATTCTTGAGAAACCCTATGCTGATGCTTAGAAATTGTCAGCTTTCTTGGAACATCCATCCTCATAAATTGCTTAGAAAAACTCACTCAACAAAAAGTGCTGGTGCTGAGCAGCAGTTATTCAGAATAAATGTTTGTGATCAACAGCATTTAAACTCGCTTCTTTTTGAAGATCACAGTTTTTTTAATGCCCAAAACAGCTGAAAGGGTTACAAAAAGATGATGTTAAATTTATGCAGGTTTAATTTTTACAAACTCTTCCAATCAGTCAATATTTTCAAAAACCTTGTTATAACAAACTTTTTTTTCTGGAGTCCCAACACTAAGTTTGTTGTACCAAGAGTTCCCTGTATAATTGAATCAAAGTACTGCATTGCACCATTTATATGAGGTATTTAGCCCTCATACCAGTATATATGAGACACACCTAGCTGTCAATCATTATCAAAACTCAAGCCGCAGTGTAGAAAAGAAAAAACTCACATGTCTTGTTGGCCACATGCTGAACTGGGGGCCGAGCTTAATGATGTGGTGCTGTTGCTGCTGCATGTCCTGACCTCCTCCTCCTGATGAAAATACGGAATCATCCAGTTTCTTCAGTTCTCGGCCATGTTCTTCTTCTTCCTCCTCTTCTTCTTCATCTCCAAATCCGGACGTCTCCTCTATGATGTTGACCGAATCGGCGAGGGCAACGACAATCCGCCCATCCTGAATGAATGCAAGTATATACATTACAGTATTTATCATATGTACTTATATATGTACATATACTTACATGTTTCATTGTATAGTGTATTTTGAAACAAATGTCACTTTTTAAAAGAATGGCAGTTCAGTAGAAGGAAAGTAATATTTATTTTAAGTTTTCTTTTCACATTTCATCAGGAATAATCATTATTTATAATATAATTATTGAATTATTTCTTGTGGTAGCCCTTGAAAGTATTTATTGCCCTTTTCCAACAAGATATCAGTCTAAAATATTCTAGAAATCATGAATCTCAATAATGCAACATTTTTTTGCTGCAATACATTTTTTATCAAGCTCATGGGAGTTTGTTGTAACAAGATTTTAGTGTATATACATGCAGTGCACAGACTGTTCTGCTGCTGTATCTGCTGCTTATTATGGCTGATGATGAAGTACAGTAGGAATTGAGTACATTACTTTAGCACATTCCCATATTCATCATTATTTAATGTTCACTGTCTGTTTATGATTCACTGCAGTAATACTCTACCTGGTCCAGACTGATTCTTGATTCATCTCCTGCTAAAGCAGCAGCAGCAGGGTGAGGAAGTCCTTCTTGTCTTGTCCCCATGAGCAACAGGTCCTGGAAATAGTCTGAGAGCAAGCACAACACTGCCTTGTGGCACCTGTGACTGTCAGTGTTGTTGGTGTAGACAGTGAAATCACAGAACCTGAAGGATGTTAATTGTTGAGCTCATTATAGTGATACAACAGTGATTCTGGGGCTGCTGGGTAGGCCAGAAAGAGAGACAATGTTAACACATTTCCAAGCAGCGGCAGTATAGTATTAGCAGCAAGTTGGATTATGCAGTCAACCCTATTTAAGCTGGATTTAAAGGGACCAGCAAACATATTTGACTTGGGGAGGTGTTGAATTGAGCTACAATACAAAGCCCCTTGTTCTGGGAAACATAGAAAAAGTGCTCAAAATTGTAAATTGTGATATTCTGAGGCTGAAATTACTTTTTAAATGAGTTGTAAGAATTGTGAACTTGAAGGCAGGGTTAATTTGCTCAATCAAGTCTCTCACCTCCTTTTAAAACAAATCGATTTATTTTTATATAGCTTTTTATTTTTCGTATCATAAAAAAATAGAAGCCAACAGGCCACAGAAAATTTGACTTATGGAGGTTTTAGGGGAAAAGCCTTTGACTTGGGGAGGTTTTTAATGCATTAATTCTGATGGGATTCAGATAGTACAAAAAAAATTGACTTTGGAGGATATTTGACTTAGGGAGGTTTGAGTCATCAAGGTTTAACTGTATATAATAAAAAGGGTAAGAACTCACTTGCCACGTTGAAACAGGCGCCAGATTTGAGTTGGCAGGTCAAGTTTCCCACCACCACCTGCCCCACCAGATCCTGCTGATGACCGGATGCTGGGAAGATGATGCAGGTGCATCAGACTGGAACCCAATCCAGGCTCCATCATAAGCTCCTTGGGCATCTGAGGTTGCAACAGGAACCTGCCACTGGGCTTCATTTGCATTGCAGTCTGGCTCATGATTGTTTGTGTGCCCACTGTTGACTACAGTAAAACCTCATTACAATTAAATACAGTACCATTACAACAAACTTTTCAGTATAACAAACTTTTTTTAAGTCCCAGCAGAAATCCTATAGGGTATATGTTATAAAAATCTTGTTATAAAAAACTCACCAATTCTATATTACAGTTGAAACTTGATAACTTGAACCTCCCTAAGTCAAAAGGGTTTTCCCCTAAAAACTCCATAAGTCAAATTGTATGTGGCCTTATTCTGGCTTTTGTTTTCTTGACACAAGAAAGAAAAAACAATAAACACAAATTGATTTGTTTCAAAAGGAGGTACGTGAGAGACTTGATTGGGCAAATGAATCCTGCCTCCAAGTTCAGGATTCTTTCAACTCATTTAAGAAGTAATTTCAGCCTCAGAATATCACAATTTACAATTTTGAGCAATTTTTTCTATGTTTCCCAGAACAAAAGGGCTCTGTATTTGAGATCCGTTCAAAACCTCCCTAAGTCTAATTTTTTTTGCTGGTCCTTTGAAATCCAACTTAAAGAGTTTCAGCTGCTGAATAACAAACTTTTTAGGGAATGTGTGATTTCTTAAAGACAATGAATGCAGGTACAGTCTCAAATTTCCCATTCAAAATGGGACTTTGACTGGTCCTTGGGACATAAGGTGGAATCAGGGATAAAAAGTATTCAAAATCCACCTAAACAATTTTTCTTTCCAAATTGTTTCCTGGGTTAGGAAAGATGGTGGGGCAGAAAATAAGAAATGAAGCCAACAAAACTCATGTCAAAAGGGTTTGTATGCTTAAGAAACCCTTTGCTGATGCTTAGAAATTGTAAGCTTTCTTGAAACATCCACCCTTATAAATTGCTTAGAAAAACTCACTCAACAAAAAGTGCTGGTGTTGGGCACTTATTCAGAATAAATGTTTGTGATTAACATTTCAACTTCTTTTTGAAGATCACAGTTTTTTTAAATGCCCTGAACAGCTGAAAGGGTTACAAAAAGATGATGTTAAATTTATGCAGGTTTAATTTTTAGAAACTCTTCCATCAATCAGTCAAAATGTTCAAAAATCTTGTTATAACTAACTTTTTCTGGTGTCCCAACAAGTTTGTTGCAATAAAAAGATAGCACTGTGTATAATTGAATCAAAATACTGTACTGCACTGTACAGTGCATTTTACCATTTATATAAGGGGCTTAGTCCTGGTACCAGTACATATGAGATACAGTGTCAATCATTATATCAACTCAAGGCCAAATGTACAGTATTAAAAAAAAAAACTCACATGTCTTGTTGGCCACATGCTGAACTGGGGGCCGAGCTTAATGATGTGGTGCTGTTGCTGCTGCATGTCCTGACCTCCTCCTGATGAAAATACGGAATCATCCAGTTTCTTCAGTTCTCGGCCATGTTCTTCTTCTTCCTCCTCTTCTTCTTCATCTCCAAATCCGGACGTCTCCTCTATGATGTTCACCGAATCGGCGAGGGCAACGACAATCCGCCCATCCTGAATGAATGCAAGTATATACATTACAGTATTTATCAAAATGAATCATCCACTCTTTTATTGTTATTCTCCGATGATGATGGACATCTCACCGCAGCAGAAACTTGATGCAATTCCGAATTGGTGTCGCAGCACAGTCGACTCAACGCCGTCCACATCTCATCCGGGAATTGGTGCAGCAGATGGCGCTGGTCCTGCTGCTGCTGTTGGGTGCCAAGGATCTCGATCCCCGCTGGCAGCAGTCGCCGCAAAGATGAGGGGTCCATGATCAGGGAAATGTCGGACCTTCACTCTTTTCTGCTGCTTCTTCTTCTTCCTCCTCCTACAGAAATCCCTAATATATTGATGTCACTCTGAAATAAATGCTGGTCGTCGGTTGTAATAGTATATAGTTCTCGCTGGATTAAGAACCTGATGGGGGTCAATCAGCAGGCCGATCCATGCCTGTCACTCAATGCACGAGTTGTTGTTGCTGAAAAACTTGTGCAAGTGCATAGTCCCTCTATATACACTCTCTACAGAATAGGAAATTGAGGAACTGACACATGTCTGCTCACAATTAAATATAGCTATAGGTATTATGGCAACATATCATGATCACATTGCTTCTTTAATTACCATGAGTATATATATATCTGTATATTTTTATAGACTTTTATTCAACTTGACTTTGGGTATATCTGTCGAAGAGGTATCTGCAGGTTTAGCAAAGTTTGAAACTGAAATTTAACATGCTTGCAAATGTACAATCCAGCTGAAAATTTCCACACTTGTTAACCATTGATGACAATGCAATGTGTCAAAATTTCAGAATTTTTGGATGCCCAAAAAATGTTAACATTGACAAAACACAAATCATCACGAACCACTCTCTTAGCCCCTTTCAAGCAGTCTATAAATTGATTAAAATGTTGTGGTTGTATTCATCAAGCCTTGTTTTAAACATTGTGAAATATTCAAATTTTTGGAATGAAAAATAAAGTTTCAGTGTGATAAGAAAGATAGTCTTGAATTTTTGAAAATAAGAAAAATCAATTTATAGCGTGATTGTCTTGAATAAACTTTTTCCAATTGTGGAACCAATGTATATCTCCAAACTCTCTAATTTTTCTGCTTTTGTTCTTGTAAACAAAATTAGCTTTTACATATAAAAAAATTAAAAGCATCTTGAAAGCATCTTGCAGTTGAAGTGACTGCTGCATGAATACTCCACCTACGGTCACAAGCGGCGCTGAAAGAAAATGGCACCGGTAGGAGTGGCGTGGAAGAGGAAGCCCGGAGTTGAGTGGCTCTATGTGCAAGTGGTGTTGGAATGGGGGCGTTACGTCTCCAGTCAATAACTCGAAATTATTCTTAACTGCGTAGAGGAGCACTGACAAGTGTTGACTGTTGGGTGAACTTTTCGCAGTGTTTGAGTGTGCGAGCCACGCCGCCGGGGCATTTCTGGACGCACCGGGTGATGAATTCATTGTTCTAAACAAATTATCCTGATATGTTTTGCATATTACACATCTACAGCTGACTGTTTCCTGGAACTGCATCCTGTTAATTTCACTTTCAGCTACGATTCTTGCAGTGATTCATTAAAATTTCGTGGAAAGTGCGAATGAACATCGTCCGAATGGACAGTGACTTTGAGTTGCGATGTCCGAGGATAATATAACTCCGTTAAGCAGCGACCGATGCTTTCTCACTAACAATCGTCATCCATGGGATAACCGACTCGCTGAGGTTGTTTCTGAGATCGAAAACAATCAGCATGGTCGTCTTGGCTGTAAAGAAGACCAAGAATTGCTCGTTTCCAATCGTGCACATCATCACATAAGTCTCTCTGAATCCGAAGTTCAAGATGCGTACATGAATCGCCTGCATCTCTTCCGATTTCGCATAATTCCTGACGGGAACTGTCTCTTCCGGAGTGTTTCTCAGGTAATCGAGATTAAGTGAATTTCTTCGAAGAAACGTAACTAAGCTTAAATCATTTCAGGCGCTTTTTGGCACTCAAGAGCTTCATATGCATGTTCGAGAGCTTACGATCGAGCATCTTTCTCGAAATATCATCGAATTCTTACCATTCTTCGAGCCATTGAAACCAGACGATGACTTGCTGGATTTCGCGTTTCATCAGATCGCGAAACTTCGTGAGAACAGTGTTTGGGGAGGTTTCGAGAGCTTGATGGCGCTGTCGGACATGTACAACATTGAGTTTCATGTCATCCTTGGCGGCGCTGTGAAGAACAGTAGTGTGACGATCCATAACTACTACTACCAACGTCAAGAAAATCATGAGTTGCCTATGAAGAAAATATTCCTGAGCTGGCTGAGTTGTGGTCATTACGATCTTGCCACCGATACAATGGAAGACCCCGCTGAGACAAATTTATGGTTGGTGGCCATGAATGAGGAGGAAGAAGAAGAACCGAAGCGTCGCAAGCGTCAGTCTTCAAAATGTCACGGTGCTGCCGGTCGTCGTTCAAGAGGTGACAGCGGAATTGAAGGAGCTGAAGGTCTCGCTTTACAGCTTCTCCAAAGTCCGGTTGAATCTGAGCCTTCCGTTGATGATGAATACTCAGAAATGAAGCCGTCGGACGACTAGGAGCGGGTTGTGCACCAGCTGACAAAAGTACGATGGTTGATGTGTGTCCGCTGGCGGGTCTGTGGTTTCACGAGAGCAGTGTCCATTTTTTCAACACAGCTGTCTAGTATGAAATATTCCAATTTTAAAAACCAACTACTGTAATGTGTTCAGCTTCTGACCTAGTTCATCTGCTGTCATACCCTAACGAGGTGAAGGAGCGAATGAGTTGGCAATCCTTCAAGTCCGAACTGAATCTTCACCGATTTTCAAATGACGCGTTCCAGAAAACTGCATTCGTTAATGTCACTCAAAACTCAGTCAAGTTCCAGTGTTCTGTACTGTGCGTGAGTTTAGCGTGCTACAAAACGTTGAAATTTCCTGTTTTTACGGTTTCTTGATGCGGTATTTCTATTTATTTTATAATGTCAACGACGCGATTTTCTGATGCTGTTGAGCGCTTTCTTTGAGCATCATTTGTTCACTTTATAGAGATGAAGAGTGGAGTTTTTCTGATGGTTTCGTAAATTTCTCACCAAAATTGTGAAATTCTTTGTATTATACGTAGGTATTCTACGGAAATGTGGGTTTTTTAGTTTCCGGAAATAATTGAAATGTAACTCCGCCGAAACATTAAGTGAAGGGTAATGCCCCTCGATCGCAGTTGAAATTTCAACCGTGTTTGAGCCCATCGTAGACGATTTTAACGAACATAGGAGCAAGATGGTCCACAGTGGGAACATATTTGCAATGGACGAATGCCTAAACATCAAAAATCTGTAATGGGAATATACAAAAAACGGTAATCGATCAGTTCATACCCGTAAAGTTCTCCGTGAATTTTGAATTGGTCTTTTGTCAACTGTGCACTGAGGAAACGGAAAGTTTGGTGATGTTTCTGTCAGAATTTTTTTTTATTTGCTTATGAAATGAACTGATGGTCTGGAGCTGCACGACTGCTAGCGGAACTGAATCAGCCGTTGTAGACGCACTTCAGCAACGCTTCGTCTATCTGGACAAGAACGAGAAGCTCTTACTTTAACGTGTACCAAAAAAAAAAAGTGCAGCCGTTCGCGGTCTGGCTCAACATAATTCACAATCTGAAGTTCCTCCGTGATGCCTTTGGTCGCGAGAAGCGGTGCAGTGTTCAATGTGTTCTCTGGATCTTTGGAACCTTTTTACTTGTCCTTACGAAGGCTGTGCGTCGCTGAAGTGTTTTAAATCGTCTCTTCGATCCAAAAAGCTTTTGGTTTCTTTGTAGTATTAGCATATGTGTGTGTGTGTGTGTGTGTGGAGGGCTTTTGCCCTGATCACGTGTTGAGTGTAATTTATTTGTTCGACGACCCTTCGAAGTGTGTGTTTTGTATGTCAGTTCGTGTTCTCTCAAGGGAATTCTCGAAGAAATACTTCTTGATCGAATTAGTGTATAATTTTTCGTTTCATCATCAAATTAGATGATGAAGTTATAGATCCGAAACCGGCGATATTTTCAGAGAATTATTTTATATTATTTGCGTTGGAAGACTGTAACGTTGCTGTTGAGAAGCTGTTTCGATGTGAATGAAAGTATCCTTCCTTCCTAGTGGAAGATTTTTTTGGATCTTTCCAAGTGCATGACGGATTTCAAAAATGTCTTCTTGTAAATGGTCTACCTGAGAGCATACATAATTTTTTTCTAGTACAGGATGTGATCGAACATTTATTGTTTTATATGGAAGACTATGGCCGAGTTTACATTAAAGCTTGACTTCGTATCCTTGCTGCAGTACGCCACTTTTTTGTTGAACCTTCTGAGATTTGTCACATACAGTACTCTAAACTCTTGGAATCATTTCGTCACACCTATGCTTCACAATGATCTGGGATTCTTCAAGTGCTAGGACTTAATGAAATGTTAGGACTTCATGTGCTAGAACGGCGCTATCCTATTGAGTATACAATTTATATCGAAAGAAATCTTGAAAAATGAAAAATATAGCAATCTTCCGAGTTGTAATATGTTCTTCAATGTTGATGGAAGCCCAATTTACATGATTTTCTTTTTACTGTGTTGAATAATTAGCAATTGTTCTCGCGATGATCAGCAATTGCTCTACCGTGATCGTGTCGTGTTGAACTTGAAGCAAAGTTTTATTCAGCGGCGAGGCTTCCTTACTCGTTTTTTAAGGCGAAATGCGTCTCTGGAATCCAAAAAAAAAGGTGTGTCGGAGACTCGTAGCGCAATTTTTTCCCCAAGCAGCCTTTCGTAATCTTCAAATGAGAAAATCTGCACCATACAATTGCGCGCTGACGGGTTTTCTTAAATCGTGCCTTTTTTTTTTTTTTCGCCGGACGAAAAATGACCAAAGCAGTGGATAACGTAGCATGAAGGAATTTGCGAAGTGCATTTTCTAAGTATTCGGAGCTGTGGGACAGAAAGTACTGTGTGGACAGGGTTGTCGACTTTCTCAAGGGTGATGCCGATTTTTCGGTGCGTTTCAGTAGTTGTGACGTTCTGTTTTTAATCTGTGTGTGTCTTTTCTTTTGGATCGGAATTCATAAGGTATCTTGCGGAAGTCCTGAGTTTTCTCTTCTATTGACGAATTATTGGAACCATCTGTGGGAGGCGGAGAGTCGACCACTCCTTAGTGGAGTCCAGTTTTACCGAAATACGTATCGACAGTTTTTCAGTCAACAACTTCGACAGTTTTTCCTGTTCAGTCACTGCATGATTAAGGAATTCTCAAAGTTAGTTGTGCTTAGCAGATCGAACATCTTTCGGTGTACTTCAGTTGGAGATCCATCGTTAAATCAAGAACTGCGGTCTATCCTTGTAAAACGAGATCAAAATTAAGAGGAAGTGTGTAAAACATATCTTCGATTGATGAAGCCAATTGTGCTCGACCCACTTCGTCATATCCATGTTATACTCAATGTTCGAACGTATGATTGACCATGATAAAAGTTCACTACGATGAAGTTTGATCATGTGTTACAGTCCGGTCCCTCAAGTTTCTCACGATTAAACTCGTCTAAGTGGAATTATATCATCAGTCACTGAAATTCGCCGTTTTCAAGGTTGTTGACATGCTGTGACGTGAAACAAATTTTCAATCGGGTATACAGTAGATGGATCTTTATTGGGATTTTGGAACAAACTTCCGTTGAAGTTGGTCGACTTTTCGCCTCGCAACTCAAAAGTGATGTGAAGGAGGTTGGTTTCATGGTTTTTGCAGAACGCATGAAACCGAAGATCTTCCCTTTCGTGTACTTTCCATGTTATCTTGAGATTTCGTTCATCCAGGGACTATGTCGGACCTGAAAGATTTCGAAGTCAGCAGTTTAACCAGCAGTGCGTTTGTTCGCCCTTTGCGACTCAAGTTCCTTCAAAATGGTCAGAATAAAGCCTGGGATCTAGTCAAAGTTCACGAAAGTGTCGGCATCGTGGTGTTCAACGTGACGCGGAGGAAATTATTGTTCGTGCGTCAGTTCCGTCCGGCGGTGTATTTCAACGGAATTCCGTCGGACGAACGCGAAACACTTGTCACACCCGGTTCGAAGATCGATACCGAGAAGAATCCTACTGATGCTGGGTACACGTTGGAAATCTGCGCAGGAATTGTGGATAAATCGTGTTCACTAGAAGAAATTGCTGCTACTGAGGTTGAAGAAGAACTTGGGTGAGTTTTTGAAGCAGTGCGTTCGAGTGATCGATTCGTGATGTGAACGTGATGAGATGCGCGGAAACGTTTGGAAGTCCAGGCCTCTTACGATATTGAAAAAAATTATATCATGAGTGTAACTCGCAGACTTCCGATTTTTAAGCTTCCAATTTGTTTCACAGTGAACAAAGAATAACGTTTGTAGTACTGGAGATTCATGAAGTGGTCTGAAATCCTACCCTGAATTATTCGGATTTCACCAAACCGTAAATAAATTGAGAGAAGGCAGTGAGTTGAAAGTGCACCCTTTCCCATTGTGTATTTAAATTTTATCCACGATCTCCATTTTTATGACTGTGGTAGTAGTCTTAATTCTTGAAAATATCCCGGAAAATACGATTCAGATGTGATGAAGATCTGTAAGATTGTAACCAATTGTCAGAAAATAAACTGATTTATTTTGAATTTCTAGGCTACAATTTGACTGTAGACTTTCACCCGAGATGAGCGCTGAAGTTCGTGTATATTATTTTATTCTGACTCAGCAGCCGTAAGAACACAGGGAACTCAAAAATCAAAATTCCGGTTTTTATCGGTGGACTATCGAAGGTGAAGAACCTCAGTGAAGCCGGTGAATAGAGCGTTAAAAAACATTAGGTTCGAGTTTATTTACTTGGGTGAACCTCGAAGCAAATACGTTCTTCCGAAATTCTTCTCGAATTGCTCCAAAGCTTCTAAACCAACTGCCGTATTTCCTGAACATAATACAGATACAAGAGCGTTCATTTTGTATTCGTATTCCGTCCGATTGGTCCAACACTTCTTGGCAGAATGCATTTCTTAATTTAAAACCGCAGGTACAAAGTGGATCCAGCCTCCATGTTTCGGATCATCACGATGCTCAGCGGTGTTGGTGTGATGGGTGAAAAGCAAACGCATTTCTACGTGGAAGTTACTGACGAAATGCGGATCGGACCCGGTGGAGGCAACAAATCCGAAGGAGAGTCCATTGAAGTAGTTGAACTGTCGATTGATGAAGCACGAAAATACATTGAGGGTCCGAAAGTTTCTTCTCCTCCCGAACTCCTGTTTGGTGTTATGTGGTTTCTTAAAAACAAGGCTCCGCAAATGGAAAACTGACCGTAATTGTGTTTTTCTGATGCCTTATTATTGCTGATTTTTCTTCACAAATTTTGTCTGATTCCTTGGCAATGCGATTTTTTT